CCTACCAATCGAAGCCCAATTTTTTCCGAATTAGTATCATTGGTATCCCTGGGCATACTTAGACATATATAAGTACATTACAAAGAGAATGAGGTTGCACAGTGATGTTTAAAGTAACCGGAGTGTGAGCAGCAGCTCAGGACTCGTGATATCTGAGATCTGCCCTTACTCAGGAATGTCACCAAGAAAAGTGCCGCACTTTCAGGGTTCAGTATCCCCTCCTCCCCACCCGCTTCCCCTGGTCCCTTTGATATCTCTGTGGAGCATTATTGACACTCTGCTTTCTTTTCTTAAACAGGTGGGCTCTGCATTGCCCAGTCCGTGAGAATCCCCCAAGAGCGCAAAGACAGGACCATTGACTTTGATAGAATTATCAAACAGCTCCTGGACACCCCCAACTCCAGGGCCGTCGTGATTTTTGCCAACGATGAGGATATAAAGTAAGGATGACTGGTGAAATTCATTAATATGCATGTTACAACTTTAGGAAACAGAAAGATCAGGATGCTGGCAGAGAAGAGGGATAAACAAGCACAGGATCAAAGCTGCAATTACACAGCGGCAAAGCCTGTACGTGCTTTCTACCCCGGCATGTGTAGTCTCAGTTAGCCATGAAAGTAGCCACGTGCTGCTGCTGCTGTGTATTTTCCTTCTGTTAGCAAAATACATGTAAGCCATTATTAAAAAAAAAAATTAGAACTTTTAAAGGTTCTTTGATTTAAAACATATCCACATATAGTAGACTTTATCCAAAAATGGTTCCCCTTAATGTGAAAGAAAGATCTTATAATTCTGACCATATTGCGAACACCTTCAACTTAATATGTCCGAAACAAAACTTAATCATACTTCTACATTCTCGAGTGCACGTTTGCCTGTTTCGCTCCATACCTTGATCCCACCCAACTCAAAGATCTGCTTGTAACATTGTCTTCCCTTTTTGTGTGTGTTCTTAGCCAAACCACGTAAATTGAACCTTAGGGAACGTTTCTAGAACATGAATGTCTCCTCCTTCCTTTCTGAGCTTTACCAAGCTCAACCAGAATCTTTCATTTAAACTTACTAGGTAAAACTTACTAGGTAAAACTAGGTAATGACGCGGCCGCTGTAAAAGTAAAACAAAGCAAAACAGAAACTACCATAAAAGGGTTTGGCTACACACGCTTAAGAAAGTTCCATCCATGTTGGCCTCTGACTCACAAGTTCTCCTCTCCAAATGTGATGGCCCATTATTCCCTTCTGGCACATCTCCCTGAAGACAATCTGCACCTGTGTCGGGGGTATCTTTATTCACATTGCAGCACATCCTGCACCTGCCTTGATGTCACTGACCACTTCCTCCTGGAGGTCACTGCCTGTCAGTACCTATACAGCTTTGCGTCTTGTGAGTAGCTATGCAGCACTGAGTTTTGCATATGCGCTGTACGTCACGGAATTACACTCTTATTGACAGTTAAGTTTGATTATAGCCTTTTACTATTATAAACAATGCTGCAATAATCTTTGCCACAAATCAGAGTGCCTCAATATAAATATACAAGTATGTAATACTAATACACAATGTATTATATGATCTATAGATACAGAAAAATGTAAGTACACTATTTTATATATTTACCTTGGAAGAGAAATTCCTCTAAAGGAAACTTAACAGACCAAGATGCAGCCCTTCTTTAAAAATGTAAATATTGGGACCAGTAGTTGGCATAATTGTTACGTCGCTGGACTCCCATCTAGTTGACCGTGTTTTGAGTCCCTGACCTGGTGGCTTAAACTCATGCCCGGCCCATATGCATGTGTGCCAAGATACCAAGGGGAGAATGGAGGAGAAGGGATCATGGCTTAGCTTTTGCCCCCACCGGGGGGTGACTTCTCTCTGTCTCTTTGTCTCTCTCTTTCTGGTGACTGCATGGACCCTATAGCAAAAACCTCTTTAAAAAAAGTAAATATCATCTCCCAAAGATACGGTGTCAGATTATGCTCACTGATGTGAAAGGGCTGTGTGTATTCGTGTGTGTGTGTGTGTGTGTGTGTAAATATTTGTTTCCTTGGGCTGGCCAGTGGTATTTCTGTTTGGTGCTTGATCACTTTCCTTCTCTCTCTGTCTCTTCCTGGCAAGTCCATGTGATCTCTAACAAATTTATTTAGAGTTCAAAATAATATATCATTGACTTTGAGGATGAAAATGTTTAATGGTAACATAGGAGCCCAGGCCAAGCCAGTCCTTGGGGTGGTGGTTAAGATGGCTGGATCCCACATGGCCCACTGCATGGTTTGAGTCCCAGACCGTAGGACTTGAGAAATGCATTGCTGCCCATGTATGCAGAATCCCAAAAGGAGAGAGACAAGGAAGAGAAGGGATTACCACATGACCAATCCCCATGGCGGGAGGGAACGTGCTTTCTCACTTTCCTCTGGCCTCCCTCTCTCTGTCTCAGGTGAGTGCATATGCTCTCTAAAAAATCAGGAAAAAATGGAAACTAAAAAACAGGCCATTATTACTTCTTGCACGGACTTCTGTATCGCTCTAAACATCCTTTCCCAGGGCCAGCAGGTGGCAGAGTGGTTAAGCCGCTAGACTCCCATGTAGTGGACCACAGTTTGAGTCCTGGATCTCGCAGCTTGAAAGTCACACTGGGTGTGTGTGCTCAGAATCCTGAGAGAAGAATGGAGGAGATGAGTTGTGGCATGGCCATCTTCCCTGAGGAGTGAGTTACCATTTTCTGTCTGTGTCTCCTGTGAGTGTACGCTCCCTGTAGCAAAAATCTCTCTCTCAAAAAAAAAAAAAAATTATTTTCCCAATCCATGTCTCTCTCTGCTCTATCTCTATGTGTACAGTACACTGACCTCAGGTGTATTCTTCTTCCCAGCGCTGAGCTCTGATCACAAGGGGGGTGGCAGGACTGTCACTTGGAAAGACTCTTGAACTTGTACCTGAGGATTTTTTGCCTCTGAGATGAGCATCGTCTCTCACTTTGGGCAAGCTCTTCCCATCACCTCCCAGCTCCTTTGGACCTCAGGTCACTCATCAATAAAATGAAAATCCTTCGAGCTCTGTTTAGAGTGACCTGGCCTTGTCCTCACTTTACGGTTAAATGAATCCCAAGGTCACAGGAGTTCTGTGTGCTGCAGGTACACGGTTATCTGTGTTTCTTCCCTCCCCGCGTTTTGCTTCTTCTCTTCCTCCTAACTGGAGAGTCTTTCCCTCCCCACATTCATTGTCCCAATGCCATCTCTAGTGTCACTTTCTCAGGAAACTGTTTTCGGAACTACATAGCTTTGGGAAATACTTTTTAACAACCCAGATTTACAGTTTGTTGGCAGTGTCATTAACTTCCCTGATTGTTAAATTAGCATCTGCCTGTTCCGCTGGCCTAGAAGCGTCTTCAGGGCAGAGATGAAGCCTCTTCCAACTTATTTTTGCACACTCTGTATCTACTCCGGTGCGTAACACATAGCAGGTACTCAAGAAATGGCATTGAATTAATGAATAAAACGTCTTGCCTAATGCCTTGTATTTTATCATTTATGTGAAAGCTCTTTCTGAACATTAAGGTGACTTAGCAGTTTAGACTCCACTTAGACTCACCAAATGCTCTACCCACGACACATGACTGATCTTCCAGAATATTCTATCAGTGGTTGGTCCTATGTGCCTTTACTCTGGTTTGTGTTTGCGGCTTCCTTCTCTGCCTATCGAACCTGTGTCTGCCCTTCCAGGTCTATTTCATTCATGCCCCTCTCCAGGGAACTGTTTCTGATCACGGACTCTGAAACGATGTGTTGTTTCTCTCATTACAAAATACTGGCTGTGTTTCTCTTAAAAGCATTTTCTTCCTCACTTTGTATTTTAGACATTTATGAGAATTTGTTTTCATACTACTCACCTCCTCTTCCTGCTTCAATTTTTCTTAGCGCCTTTACTCATGCCTTTCTTAATGATCTCTGAAATCCTCCTCATGTCCGTTTCACACAGTCGCTAAGTGTTCAGCACCTCAGGAAGGTAAGGCCTTATGTGTATTAAAAAAAAAATTGTACATGGCACATAAAACAATTTCAGGGCCAGTCCATGGCCTGGTGGTTAAAAGAGCTGGATCCTACATGGCCAAACACATAGGTCAAGTCCCAGACCCAGCAACTTGAAAAGCACACCAAAAGGAGAGAGAGAAGGGATTGCCATGTGACCATGCCCCATGGGGACTGTTCGCTCTCTCTCTCTCTCTCTCTCTCTCTCTTGCTTTCTGTCTCTCTTCGTCAACTACATGCACCCTCTGGCAAAAACTGAAAAATAAATCAACAAAAAAATTTACTCTGATGACTACTTCTAATACTCATATAATACTCGCAGGTTGCGCAACATTTTAATTTGGGATCCAAAAATTTGTCTAATCCACCCAGTAATTTTGCTCTTTGTTATTTATTTTTTTGGTGCTGGGGTTTATCTGTGTGTTGAGTATCATTATATTCATGGTACCAATAGCAATAACAGCTCTTGACCACAGTAATAGAAGTCAGATACACGTGTGTCTCTTTCAAAACAGGATCTTCCACACCCCGATGTGTGAAGTATACTGATAACCCACGATGTTCTGTTATTTCTTTTCTTCAGAAGATTTACACTGTAGATGGGAAATTTTGATATTTCTTGCAACATTAACTTCAAATACTTTGTCAGAGAATAGCAGTGAGAAGAACATTAATATCCAGGTTTTGAAGCGGAGATAAGTGCTAAATCGGTCTTGGGTACTGATAATTTGGATTTTAGGCAAGAGTGAATTCTTTTCCTCAAACTCTTTATTCTGATTACTAAAGTAATACATGCCCATTATAAATCCATTGAGAAATCTTTTTTTGTTCTTATCGATAAAAGATGATAAAAGGAACACTTCAATTTTACTCCTGATAATACAGAAAATTAAAAAGAAAATAATCAGTACATGTATTTAAAGAAAATAATATGAATAAACCAGTTTTGGTGCAAAATATTGGTATTTTACCCAATTCCTCCACATTCTATAGTTCTGTTTGTATGTGTGTGTATGTCACAGCTATTTTAACTTTTGGGTCATTTTTTTCTTATCTGAATAATGTACATATGTTGCAATTTTGAAGTTATCTAAAAAAATAATTTCCTACAGGGTACATGAGTTTGCCAGAGAAAGAGAAAGGGGAAGTAAGAAAGCACCAGGCAATGGTCACACCACAATCCCATCTCCTCCATTTCTTCTTCCTTTCAGGGTTTTGGGCCTGCTCACACACACACCCACATGTTTTTTAAGTCTCTAAGTCAGGAACTCAATTGTAAGGTCAGCCATGTGGGATCCAACTGTCTTAACCACTGGGTTATAGGACCCTGGAATGATTAATTTTAAATATTATCCATTCATTTATCTTAACTAGAATTTACATCACTTCTATTTACTTATGTTACTATGTTCCCTCAACATTGTTCCATCAGACTTAATAAAAATCAGTTTTTATGTTACTATGTAAATATGTACTATAGCATCGAGTATTTTTTTCTATATGATTTATTTTTTGTTATTTCTTTTTAAAGAGATTTTTGCATGGGGCGCATGTGCTCACTAGAGAGGCAGAGAGAGACACAGGGACAGAAAGCAAGACATCACCCCCAAGGGGATGGCCACACCGCAATCTCTTCTCCTCCATTCTCCTCTCAGGATTTTGGGCAAGCACACACACGCACACAGTTGCCAGGTCTGGGGCTTGAACCATAGTCAACCATGTGGGAGTCCAGTGATGTTACCATTATTCCATTTGCTGGTCCCAATATGGTTTATTTAAATTTTTTTTTTCTGAAGTTAATGTGCATGATAATCTCTAATATTTTCTTCATGATGTTACAGTTCTATCACATTTTTCTGTATTTCATATAGAAACTAATCTGAGTTTGATTAGTTTTCCTGGACACTTCCCACCGAAAATCATCATTCTGTTTTAACCTGGACTAGTCATTAACATATTAAGAATTTATTTCTCTTATTCTCTTCATTCTTCAATTGGATCTTAAGAAATTTTTATTCTGGGTAAATTTCCTCATTTTGCTGGAGCACGTACTTTGATAACTTTCTAAAAACAAAGTAGTAGAAATGTTTTTGTGTGTTTTTAATGCTGAAAAAGGTTATTATGCTGTCCCACTTTTAACTGGTAGTTTGGGTGGCCATAAGGTTTAACCTCATATTTATTTTAGATGTATCACATATACAAATGCATGTAAATTATTTATAATAAGTTACTGGGGTGACTAATGCATTATAAGACTCTTAACTTACAGAAAGCTTGAGGTTCTGATTTTAAGTGGGAAACTCTCTAGGCCCCATTTTACATATATGCACAGTTTATTTGCATTGGAATTCTTTGTAT